GCCGTTTCTTTCCCGAAGGGGCCGTACTGCCGCCCTGTGCCGCGGCCTACACATCGGCCCGCAGAGGCTGCAGGATCTGGCGGAGCCGGCGACTGCGAAGGAGGCGGAGAACCAGAACGGGACCGACCTGAGGTGAGACGGCCAGGCCGCGCCGGGAGGGCTCTGCCGTTTGCCTCTTTCTGGGAGGTTTTATCGCCGCCGGTGGTTTTTCAGCCGAGGAAAGAAAGGAAGTAACTTGGCTCAATCACAAACGCAGCTTGTGTCTTTTGGAGACTTGATTCCTTCTTTCCTTCCCAATATGAAATAAAACTTTGTAAAATTTAAGGAGTGAGTCCCTCATAGCTCTTGTTTTGCTCCTCAGCCCTTTAATCCTGCAGAGGAACTCCATGAGATGGGATGAAAAGATGTATGAAGAGATCCCAATAGCTTACATCAAAGCGACGTACAACAAGTAAGCAAATGAGCTGCTTCGCTCCTGCTGTCATGCAAAATAAAAGCTTATAACATACCCAGGCTTTGTCCAGTCATCGTTTTGATCAAAAGGCTCAAAGGAAAAAAGCCAGGGGAGTGGTGTTCATGACTGGGAAGATAATAATACTGAATTCAAACCTCAGTGCTGTTCAGGAAGCATAACTGTCCTTATAGTGGCTTTAACAGCAATAAGATTGTTATTACACAACTTTACTACATTTTGATACGAATAATTAGGTGCTTACGGCTTTAATGGCAGATTACTTCCAGCTCTCCACTCTAGCACTGTTGCTGTACAGCTGTGGAAAAAATTGTCATATTCTCTACAAGAGACAGTTGTGTTTCAATAATGATCCCTAGTGTGATATTTTACTGTTTCTTAAAGCTCTTTCAAGTTCTAGAAATGTTTTGTGCATTTTTTTTTTAATAAACAGAAGAGAGAAAATGCTCACAGTGAGAGCTGGGTCTGAAAGGGCTAAGCAGTATGAGGTGTAACCGGATAAAGTATACCTTATCCAGAAAGGTTTTGCCACCTTGCTCAGATTCTCTAGGGTGACCAGAAGGTCACTGCTGGGAGGTCTCTGCAGCAGGTTTGTGTAAGTGGGATACCTTGAAAGGGAGTGCTACGTTAGGGTGGCTTGGAGAGGGGGGACAGGAGTCCTGTGGGGAGCCGTGCCAGTAAGGTGAGCAAGAAGAAACTGGAGAATAAAGCTTTGTTCTAGTTTGCTTCTTTCTTTTGCTCCTCTCTTTCTGTAGCACCCATGTCCAAGTGGTCAGCTTTGACAACAGGCCGTTTGCCCATACATCCTGTGGCACAGAAGGCTTCCAGAATGCCAAGAAGGGAACTGCCATCGCGGCACAGACCGCAGCCATGGCAGCAGCAGTGGTGAGTCTGCACTGATGATTCTTACTCTCCTAGAGGGGAGCAATGATGGCCTCCCCCCACTACCTGGGTACATGCTTCACTCCCAGGCACCAGTCCAGAGACCTGTTCCTTAGCGCTCAAGTAGCACACCACTGTTTGCTGAGAGTTTCCCTAGCTTCATCTGACACACTGCACATCTTCACACAGACAAAGCATGTTTGAAACAGCAGTTAGAAATGCCCAGAGGGGGAGCTTAGCTGTGCAAGTTGTGACTGGGAAATGTAACTTGGAGCCTATCCCTTTTCTAGCACCAGTTTGCATAGCTCCTTTTTTCTAAGTGACATCTCAGCCATTTTGGAAATGTAGCCTCTGAATCAGCAGTAGTTCAATTTTTGCACTGTAGGGGACTAAGAAGCAGCTGTAATTACTGGCTGAATGTTTTATATTTGCTCTCTGCCACAGGAGAACTGAGCTGCTGCCAGCAGTTTCAGTCAGAGAAGGTGATGTTCTTGTGTGTGTAGTTTCCAGCTGCATACAGTTTACTGTAATTGTTTCTAAAAAACCATGTGAGTGTCCAGGTGGCAGGAGATGATAAGGCTGGCTGTGTCATGGTCCTCATTACAGCAGAACGAGGCAAGGTTAAACTGAAAATCCTCATCCTAAATTAGGTGGAACTCGCTCCAGCCTTTCATGTCAGAGGTGCCACTGCTGGCCAACAGCTTATTGTGGTTGACTCAGAGGAATATAAGAACATCTTCACTATTAATCTGTGCTCATCAGAGCCTCGTAATAGCTGCGCTTGGCCAGATTTATTCTGTCACTGTTAAAGTTCTTAGTACGTTAATCGCACCAGAACACAGAAAGCGGGAGACCCAGAGGAGGTCCATCCACGTGGTGGCAGCATGGCTATGCTTTACAGCAGGTGTTTTTCATTTTCAATTTGCAAGCCCCTAGAATTTTTGCACTGAAAGTGTGGACTCCTGCACAGCAAATACAAAGTTTGCCTGCTTTTCTCATTTACCCTCTAGAAGGAATCCACTGATCACAGGAGAGAAGTTGCTGCATTAGAGAAGGGAAAACAGCTTTGAGTTAGTCCTTGTTAATGCCTTGCCAGTTCAGTCACGTATCCATGGATATGTCATTTTCTGCCTTGGCTTTAGGTCACAGATAGTTTGATCTTAAAGCTTTCTCTGTATGCAGAGCTGACAGCCTAGCACAGAAGCTGGATGAGGGAACTGGGTCTGTTCAGTCTGGAGAAAAGCAGACTCAGAGGGGATCTGCTCAGTGCTTATAAACACTTTAGGGCCGGGTGTCAAGAGGATGGGGCCAGACTTGTCAGTGGTGCCTAGTGATAGGTTAAGGGGTGACAGGCACAAACTGAAACACAGGAAGTTCCACCTGAATGTGAGGAAAAATTTCTTCACTTTTAAGGTGACAGAGCAGTGGCACAGGCTGCCCAGAGAGGTTGTGGAGTCTCCTTCTCTGGAGATATTCAAAATCCGCCCGACCTCATCCTGTGCAGCCTGCTGTAGGAGAACCTGCTTTGGCAGGGGGTTGGACTAGATGATCTCCAGGGGTCCCTTCCAACCCCAACCATTCTGTGATTCTGTGAAGTTCTCTTGAAACTGCCATGGCTCTATCCAGCCCTCCTTTTCTCCTAGGTTCTTTGTGCAATAATCCCCATATTTGTCTTCTGTGTCCATTACTACCTACTCTTTATTTTTACTTAAAGAATACTATGATATTGGGTCAAAAGGGAATGAAAGACTCCAGGGGATCCAGAGCAGCAGTAGTTGTATCAAAGAGAACACTAACCAGCTGTTCTTTTCACAGAAAGCACGTGGGAAGGGTGTATTGCATGTACGAGTCATGGTGAAAGGACTGGGACCAGGACGCAAAGTACGTGTCAGAGTTTCTTTTCATATTTGTCTTTCTCAGGCATCATCAAGTTTTTTAAATTCAGGCTGGTCTCTTGACTATACCTGTTATCTTGTTTTTTCTGAAGGTGATGTAAAGAATTCATCAGTCAAGTGCCCAGTATTGAAATTTTAGAATCATTAGAATTTTAGTGTAATATCACTTTGGAGGCTGAATAAAAGCAGTATTTGGGACTTCTTCCAACTAAAGTAGGAAAATTTTTGGGAACGCTGATGAAAGGACTGGAGCAGATAGGTTTAAACTGGGTTTTCTGATATGAATTACTTATTTTTAAGATAATTACAACATAGAACCATTGGAACAAGTTGATTTTTGGATGGGGGACCAAACTATTTTCCCCTGAGCTTTGTCCCTTTTCTGCTGTTCAATGTTTTGATAATAGCATCCCATCTGCTGTCTTGTTCTTTCAGGCTGCCATCAAGGGTTTGACTATGGGAGGTTTGGAGGTCATCTCCATCACCGACAACACCCCAGTTCCACACAATGGCTGCCGCCCACGGAAAGCCAGGCGAATGTGAGAGGGGAATGGAAGAAATGCACAGCTTTCAACATCAGTTCATGCAACAGGGACTGGGTTGAATGTTGCTCCTGTGGCAGATTCTGGAAAGCCACCCTCCCTGGAAATACTTGTTGAGGGAAGCTTGAGGAAAGGAGACCATTGTGGGCCTTAAAAGTGGTAGAAGCTGGTGGTAAAAGCAGGAATACGTGTACTCCCTTAGTGGGAAGCCTCTTATGTACAAAGTTTGTTGATTAAAATGTTGGTCTTTTGATTTTGCTGTGTTCCGAGAAGTATTTTGGATTATTATTGCCTCTCAACTGCTCTCTTCCTCTTACCACCGTATGTGGCTCTTGTCTAGCCCTCCGTGCTATTATTGCCTTTGTTAGGTGGAAGGAGAGCTTGAGGTCTAGATCCCCTTCTAGCCATCTGTAGTAAACAACTGCAGGGGGTCACGTCATCTTCCTTCCCTCTGTCTCTCGCTGCAAACATTTGGAAACAAGGCATGGGGTAACCCTTCGCCTTCGCCCTGGCTTGCAGAGCTCAGAGTGCCGTGTAAGAGACAGCTCTCCCTGTTTGCACAGCATGGCGCACTGTAGTCTGGATCCATTCTTGGCAAAGATCTGTTGTGGTGCTTTGTTTCACCCAAGCTGTAGTTGGCCTGCCAGTGCTACTGGCAAATGGAAAATGCCAGCCCTTCTAAAGGGGCTGGGATCTTGCCAGTTTTGATGCTTGCAGCCTCTTTGGTCCTGCCTTGTGCCCCATGAACTGGATTTCCTGGGGGAAGCAAGCAGGGGGTTAGTAGGCCTGAGGAACAATGAAATGCTGCCAAGGAGATTTAAAACACTGGAGTCTTGAACTGTACCTCTGTATATCCACAGGCAGCGCAAGCTTGTCATGGGTCTGTGATGTATTATTGCTGTCCCAGCTCCATCCAGAGAGAACTTCTGCCAAGGAAATATGTCTGAGGCTCTCTGGAGCATTAACCAGGGAAGGTAACAGCAGTAATTGACTACAGGATTGATTTCCTGGATGGCAGAGGCACTCTGCCTAGCAAAGGGGCTCCTCCTTGAAATCCATGCTGCCAGAGAGGCCCTGGCTGTATACAGCATACACTGGGCAAAAATCTCACCTGTAAACTGTATTTTGGTGCAGCCGGCAGATCTATCACAAACCCAGAATCTTCCTTTTTATTATTTCTCTTTCTGTCTTTCCTCTTTAGTTTCTTAAATTGCATAATTAACTATTCTCTTCCTCTTTAGAGAAAGGGTACCATGGCAACAAGGCAGCGAACCTCCTTCGTGGGGCTGAATGGCATACAGCAGGTTTTGAAAGAAATCAGTCTGCTTAGAAGAACCTTAGAAGAAACCTGATTTGACAGAAGAGAAGAAAACAACATTCAGATGAATCCCCTACCTTACTCCAACTGTCTGAATAGAGGGTAGGTTATCTTAAAGAGAAGTTCCTTGAGCTGTCACAGATCTGACAGTGAGGAAGAGAGGTTCTTCCATAGATGTTTGACACGGTAGAAGAGCTTCCCCCTTGCTCCAGAAACCTGGCTGAGCTTCTAGTGACTTCATATTCCTCTTTTTAAGGAGAAGATACCAGGTCAGCTATAAACTGCAAAGATTAACTCTCCGAGTATCCGGGCAGCTAGCTGGGGAAGGCATGTGTGAACACTGATGTGCCTTACAGCAAGGCTGGGCTCAGCCAAGCACAGGGACCAGCCCTGAGAAAGGAGGAGGTCTGCGCTGGCAGGCTTGTCAGCAATGTACTGTCTAACACACTGAGAAAACCAAACACTACTGTTCTCTGCCAAAAGCTCCTTGTTGCATCAATGCAGAAGTGCCCACGTCAGATAAAGATGACAGAACAAATAGAAAAATAAGATTGGGAAGAGATCTGCAGTCCTTCTGCAATTCAGGGAAGAGTAGGTGGGTGACTCGAGAGTCAGAAAGCAACAAGAATAAATCTTTGTCTTAGCCAGACTTAGAATCAAGAGTGCCCTTTGTAAAGGCCACTCCTTAACACTCAGTTTCTGAGCATTTGTGAACATTTTATGAAGTCTACTAATGGATCGCCACTGCTTATACAGTGGGATGTTTTACCTCCCTGTCTGCCCTGCCTAGTTGTGGTAGTTACCCCTACTTCTTCTTCCTCCAACTGACATTTATATAGCACTCTCCGAGCTGGACAGAAGAGGCTGACACTATTCTCCATGGCTCAGTGGCCGGAGCTGTACAGTGTCATGCAATATTTGTCTTCCAAACCCCCAGCTCTACGAACCCTCCCTGAGTTCTCCAGCACCGTGTTTCAGTTGTGCAGCTTCTCCTTGAAGTCACATTTTCCACCCACCTTCTTTCCTGCCCTGATGGAGCACCCCCAAAGCTATTTCCTAACTTCACACTCAGTCTGACCTGTTTATTCTGCAGTACAACCCGGGCCTCTGGGGCAGTCATCAGTGAAGTGGGAGAGCACAGCTCCACAAAGGAAGCTCTCCCACCTTGTGCAAGGGCTCATTTGCTCCCTCCTGCACATGCTGCACTGTGAAAGAAGTCTTAAAACTATTGTTGTTTGTCTTGCAGGGAATTAATAGACACCAATAGCACTTAATGATTTCCTTACTCTTCAGATGAAACTATTAATTAAGGGCCTGGTTTTAGTCAGCCACTGGTATTTACCAGTTCTAATTGCTTTTCTTGGCACTTGGGTGGAATGCTGTTTTCTACTGGCTCACATTCCTCCTGAGCAGCAATCACTTCACTTGTCAGTAGCACTGGCCACAGCATTAGCACCCTCATTAAGGTCATACCCTTTCCCTTTGGGCTTCCTCATTGCTTTGGGACATTTTTCTCTCCACTCCCTCCTAACTTTTGATTCCCAACTTTCAAAGAAACCTTTTTGTGTGAAACAAGCTCAGAAGCTGCTACTGACTGCAAAGCTTCATCCTGGTTCAACCCTGGCCTTTCTGGGGTTTTGCCCTCCATTTTAAAATACCACATGGACCTTTCTCCATCGCATAGGGGGTGAAATACAAAACGGGCTTCTGACTTACAGAGAAAATGCTGCCTAAGGTTTGTTTACTCCTTAATGAGTGCCATATCACCTTGGGGAGTTAGTCTAACTCAGTTACCCTTCCCTTGGACAGCAATGGCACCTGATGGCTTGGAAAAGTAGCCCCTAGCCTTCTCCCTAATAGTACATTATTCTGCAAAGAGGAATTATTTCCCTATTCCCAGCAACAAGGACTTTCTACCTAGAGCTGCAGCTTTATCTGCTGAATTGGTGATTTACTATTTCTTATGTGAGCATCTCAGTGACATGAGTCAGGCAGCCAATTTCGATCCCTTTGTGAGATTCAATTAAACCATTAATTAAGTGATGTCAGTGTGCTTTAACAGCTGACTCTATACACAAGCAAGGAGAAGGGGACAGACCCTGCAGTGCTAATAAACTGTAGCAGCAGGGGTGGTTTACCGCAGCCCAGCTGCAGCTGTTAGGGACATCTGTGCAGGTTTTGCTAGCTTTCCCTCTGGTGCAGGAATACCTGGCTCAAGATGTGCACAAAGCAGGTCGGTGAGTAGGTGTTTATAATCCTAAAGCACCCCTCGGGAGCCTTTGAGAAGTAACAGTTCAAGTCAGGTTATGTTTTTGCACTCAGACTTTGGCAGATAGTCAAGGTGCTGCTTTCGTGTCTGGTGTCCCGGCCTGGCCCCTCTTCCCCTCCCAACTGCCCCTCCAACCTCAGCCCATGACCTCTCAGACCAGAAAAAGATCAAGGACCCTCAGGTTGTTTTTGTGCTTTTCCAATGCTCTCCTCTCTCCTCAAGAGGCATTAATGGGTACTCAATGGCAGTGGGAACTGCTCAGAGGTTTTACTAATGAACCACCTAATAGCATCCAAGTTCCCGTGCTGATGGTGAAGCTGGGCTGCAGGGTCCTCTTGGGGAGATGCAGAGGGGAGCCAAGCCTCAATGCTATTCCCTTTTTTTGAAACCACTCACGCCGCCTCTGCTGTGCTCTCCAAGCTCCCCCTGCACTACTGCCACTTGGCAAGGTCCTTTCTTTTCTCTGGATTTTATAACTCCCTTCCTACGCCCACATCTGCCAAGGCTGTGCACCTGGACCCAAACCTCTCGGCAGCTACAGAGGCCTAACAGTCATTGCCTGGGATAGGTGCTCCCGGCAGCAGCTTCACAGCTTGTTTTTCTAAAGAAAGTCGGCAGAAGGGAGAAAGGGTTGGGTGTGAGGGGCTGAATGCTAAGTGAGGATGCGGGCAATGAAAAGGTGGGTCAGGAAAGAGAGAGAACACTGAAGGAAAAATGCAGGAAGAGAAAATACAACATTAAAACAAAACAAAACAAAAAACTTTCCTAAAGCTAAAATCTCCCAGCTGATGGTCCAAGAGTTGGTACAGATTAGGAGAAGGATGCAGGGAACGGTTCTCCAGAATTGGGCTAGACACGCTCCCCTTTGCTGTTCTCCCAGCCAGACCTCATCATCAGAAGCACTGGGTGACTTTGCTCGGGAGCCCTCCTTGCCAGCACAACCAGCTCTTTGGGTCTTTCACTTCACCATTTTAAAGAAGGCACAAAGACCATCCCAAAGCTGTATTTAGAAACTGCTCCAAAGCCTCTCCAAGCAGCAAGGACAGTTCTCAAAACCTTTCTTCCCCTTTGGAGCTGGCTCCAAAATCCCTCCTCTGTGCCTTGCCACTTAAGGATTCATTTTGCAAAGCCAAACTTGAAGCCGGAGCAGGTGAGATTGATGTCCGCTGTACCTCCCAGCCACATCGCTAAAGACTCCAGCTTTTGACCCTTTCTCCCTCTGCTTGTTCCTCTGTGCAGGAGCAGGCCAGGCTTCCCACCACACACAGGACTCCAGGTAACAAATAAAACTTGGGGGCCCGGGCAGGAGAAAGACACACGTTTCATCCCCCAGCCCCTTCAGCAGGTCCCAAGATGAGGTGGTGAAATAGGACTCTTATCTCTTCATGCACGAGCCTGCAGGCAAACAACTTGCTCTCCCAGTTGCTAGCCATGGCTCCCACGCAGCCTCTTGCCAAGACCTAGATGCTGCCTTTCATTTTGTTCCTGCTGCATCCACAGAAGTAAATTATCAATTTCCTGAGCTGCCAGGGTCAAATTGACCAAGGAATACAAGTGACTTTAGACAGGCAAGCCCTCTGGGCTTCTCTGTAATGCCAACAGCAGGGAAGCAGCCTGCTGCAGCAGTGGGAGATACTCTGAAACGATCTGCCCTTGGACACGGTTG